AAAATGTGTAAATAATTCTGGATAGCTGCCTCGTTAATTTTTTGTTGTGGAATCATAAAGGTACTTACCGCAAACTATGAAATCAAACATAAAAGTGTTCTCCAAACCTGTATCGAATGGGGCTGTTTGAAATCGTTTACTTCAGGAGTTTTCCTGATTTACTGAGTTGCAATTCTGACTATATACTTTGTACATTAAGCTCGTATGTGGGAGGAGTTCGGTGAGGCCTTGGAGGTAGATTCTCGGTTGGCTCTGAGGAGATTCTGGCAAACCATCAGGCAACTGAGGAGGAGAAAGCAGCGCTTAACTAACACTGTGTTCAGTGAAAGTGGTGTGCTGCTGACCTCAATCAGTGATGTTGTCGGGAGTTTTAAGAAATACTTCTCAGACTTTCTCAATCCCATCTTCCATGGAGGAAGCTGAGTCGGGGAACTTCGGGGCTGGTTTGTCCATAACCATGGTTGATGTCACAGAGATAGTTAAAATGCTCTGCAACGACAGGGTGGATGAGATTCGCCCTGATTTCCTTAAGACTCTGGATGTTATGGGGCTGTTTTGGTTGACACGCCTTTGCAACATCACTTGGACACTGGGGGCAGTGCCACTGGATTGGCAGACTGGGGTGATGGTTGCCCTCTTCAAAAAGGGGGACCAGAGGGTGTGCTCCAATTACAGGGATATCACTCTCCTTAGCCTCCCTGGTAAGGTCTATTCAGGGGTACAGGGGTGATTATGGGATCGGGGGCCCATTGCTAAGGGCTGTTCAGTCCCTATACAAGCGGTGCGAGAGTTTGATTCGCATTGCCAGTAGTAAGTCAGACCGCTTCAAGGTGGGAGTTGGACTCCGCCAGGTCTGCCTGTTGTCACTGATTCTGTTCATAACTTTTATGGAAAGAATTTCTTGGTGCAGCCAGAGGGTGCGGGGAGTCTGGTTTGGCGGTCTCAGGATTGGGTACTGTTGGCGTCATTGTGTTGTGATCTTCTTCAGCTCTTACTGGAGCAGTTTGCAGCCGAGTATGAAGCAGTTGGGATGAGAATCAGCACCTCCAAATCTGAGGCCATGGGTCTCAGTTGGAAAAGTGTTGATTGCTATCTTCAGGTCGAGGGTGAGGTTCTGCCTCAAGTGAAGGAGTTCAAGTATCTAAGGGTTTTGTTCACAAGTGAGAGAAGAATGGCACATAAGATTGACAGATGGATTGGTGCAGTGCCTGCAGTATTGCGAACTCTGTGTCAGTCTGCTGAGGTGAAGAGGGAGAAGAGCTATAAGGCAAAGGTCTCTGTTTACCGGTCGGTCTACGTTCCTACCCTCACATGGCCACAAACTTTGGGCAGTGACTGAAATAATGGTATTGCAGAAACAAGCAGTTGAAATGTTTCCTCTGCAGGGTAGCTGGACTCTCCTTTAGAGATAGGGTGAGAAGCTCAGTTATCCAGGAAAGACTCGGAGTACCGCTGCTCCTCCACATTGAAAGGAGCCTGTTGAGGTAGTTCAGGCAACTGGTAAGGATGCTTCCTGGACACCTCCCTATGGAGGTGCTTTGAGCATGTCCAACTTGGAGGAGACTCCAGGGAAGACCCAGGACATGCTGGAGAGACAACATCTTTATGTTGGGCTGGGAATGCCTTGGAGTCCTCCCAGAAGAGCTGGAATAGATGGCTGTAGAAAAAGATGTCTGGACCTCCCTCTTCAAGCTGCTGCTCCCACGACCCGACTTCGGAATAATCGGAAGAGGACGGATGGATGTACTTTGTCTACAAAAATTATAAATGTATTGGTGAGAAACGTTATTATGCACAGTTGTAATAGGCTTAAGAGGCATGAATATTTCTAACACTAATAAACAGGTTTCCATCCATTTCAGACTGGTGTGCTTTTCAGATCTGTTCCTTGCTGCTGAGAAAGCAAAACGTTAGCTCAGAATTGCGAGGGAAACGTATCCATCCTGCAGCTAAGCACAGGCCAGTCAACATGTATAGCTTTGCAAGCCAAGAATGCTGCTTTCTATTAAGACTTCTCATCTAACACTCAGGGAGCCCTCAGCAACTAACAAAGCTGAAAACCACAGTGTATGGTCGAGTGCCAGGAAATGAGCCAATTATAAGTGTTTGTCAGGGGAGCAACAATCAGGAAACAGCTCACTATGGCTGCCAATTCACAATTTATTTTTGAAAGAAAAATGTAAGTAAATCAATTAATCATTTTTTTCAACTCTGTTAGCATTTTTTTTCACCCTACACACATTTAAACAATGTTCATCTTGTTGATTTACAATAGTAGATAGCCTATACACGTATAGAAGCATCTATAACTAAGTAACATGATTATTGGTTTAATAACCACAAGATGAAAGACTGAAGAGAAACAGACTCAATACAAATGTAAAAGTGATTTTATTTACAGTGCTTGAGAGATTTTCTGGCTGTGGGAGGAAGAATGGGAACAAGGTGAGTTTAACCGTTTCCAGAGATCTGGATTGTCGAAGAAGTTTGTTGATACTCTTCTTACTGTTTGAGTTTGTAGGTCGCGTTGGAGAGGAGGAGAGGTACGATGTTGAGGAAATGGACATGTGATCCGGAAAGATGAGCATTAAAGGTTCGAGCTGTTCAATGTCTGGTCCAGGCTGAGTCTTGTTGTTTTGTGGAAACCAGGATGTCTATGCAAGGTTATGAGGGTCGATGAGGTGGTTGAGGAGACATGGAGGAGCAGGACTTGAAAACAGGAAAAATCACTAGGATAGTCAACGTTTCTCGAGGAATAGTTTTGTAGACTGTAACTTTAAATACCTGAGGCAAAATAATGTTCCAGCGTAGGATGAATGTCTGGCAGGGGTACAAGTAGTGTAGTGGAAGTCATCTGAATCATGTGCAGGTGTGGTTGAGAGGATAATTGGAATGAGTGTCAGTTGTGTGAAAAGTGGTTATGGCAGAGAAAACTATGAATCCTACACTGAAGGTGCATTAACACCAGCCCTGTTTAGTCTGCTTTAATCGAACTCTAGTCCATTTGCCTAGAAAGTCTGGTTCGTTTGGAGAGGTGTGAATGTGCAATCAAACTCTGATACGGACCAAAAAAGCGAACTCTGGTCCGCCTAAATACGTAGGTCTCAGTTCGGTTGAAGTGAACTCTGGCGCAGTTCGAATGCGGTGTGAATGCAAGCAGAATGGAGACCGCTCCAAAAACAGGAAGTAGACTACAGCACGGGGCAAACAAACGTGCATTTCTCTTACCTCATATGGAGCTGTCAGCTGCCTTGTGTGAAAAACATCATTCTCCATGGTCTTCTGCCTCATCTTCTGCTCATGCTGAGTCAATTGTTGAAAAATGACCAAACAAAAATCCTAAAAATGCGAAAATTTAACGCCACTCCGTTTTTGATTTTATTTCCAGAAGAAGAATAAGAAGTATCTTCTTCTGAGGTTTTTGTGTCGTTTTCTTGACTAGTTCTTGGTGCAGCGCCACCACAGGCGAGGGGGGGAACAGGTTGGTTCGGTTGACTCAGTGCAGTGTGAATGCAAACCACATCAGCTGAAAATGTAAACACATGTTATGAATCTTAGTCCCCAACAGAACCAATTCTACCTGACTATCACGTGGGAAAACACCCATAAAGAACGTTATAACTCATTCTCTGGTCATTTCTGCTGAGATACTAACTTGCATTTAAGAAAGTATTTTATTGACAAGTTTCAGAAAACCATTCAAGGGACAGAAAGATTCTGGCCAATGATGGATGACAGAAACACTGACAAGGCAGTTTAAAGTTACAATTCAGCACTGTTTTCTTGTTTGGAGACTATTTTATTTCTCACAAGAACCACAAGAATAAAAAAAATCAGTGTGGAAACCAGCTATGAACTCAACTGATTATTAGTGAGATAAGGAACGTGTCAGAAAAATTCCTCTGTGTAACGAGGAAGGAGGCTGTGCTGTGCATCACGTGTCCTACCTACCTGATAACATTTTGCTCACTTATTCGCTCCATCGTCGGAACAGATCAATAAAACTCATGTGTGAAGACAAAGTGTTGTCTACGTTTGTACATTCCTTGAAGCACGAGCAGTTCATGGTTGATCCCGCTCAAAAAAGTCAACAGAAAGTTAGTCATTACAGTATATAGTGTGATTAGGAAGTGGACTTCTGGACCTCACAGACATCATCCTCAAATGTAAACAAAGCTGCATGACACTGCATACAAGTTGGTTTTTTTTTTTATTTCTCATGCGACTATTGCCACTGCGCTGACACTTTCAGACAACATAACTCAAAAATGTGGAGATATGGAGTGGTTACATATTTGATCTGTGCTCACCTAAGATTAAATATTAAAGCAAAAGTTTGTTATCATTCAAAGGCAAATTATAAAAAGTCATGATTTCAGTTTAAAGTTTAGTTCACTGGGTTCATCTTATCTTTTTATATCAGTGAAAAGCTTCAGTAAATCCACTCAGCGACTGGACCCTGACTTAGTAAACACACAAAGGCCACTTCGTTTAAAGCCTTTCCTGGATTGGTAAAACGATCACTTTTAGAAAAACTCTTACGTATAGGCTACATGAAATCATCCACGTTTGGCTAGAATTCACATTCAAAACGATGAAGCAGGTATGCAGAGTTTATGAGAAACTACGATGAAAAAGCAATGACTGAAAAGTGCAGTACAACTTACTGACAAATCCAGTGGGAATGAATGGGTTAATGGTATGTATTCAGTGCAGCTGACTTAAAAAAAGAAAAGGTTTGAGGGCTTGGCAGCCTTTCTGTTCATCATACAGACAACTGCACAAAGATCAGTCATTCAGTGTGTCACTGTCCATCCAGCTCAAATCAAGACCTCTGTGACTGAAGGTAAGCGATCTAATTTACACATTAGGGCTAGAAAACCTTTGTAAATAATCTATTTTAAAAACAACCAAAGCGAGAATCAATTTAATTAGAGTCACATTTTAAGTTTATTGGTATGTATTTATATTAACTTCCTAATCCTCTATCTTTAGCTGGTATGCAAACCCTTGCAGTGCTGGTGGTGTTGCTACTGGGAGCATCACTGGTGCTGCCAGACGCAGACACAGCAGGAGAGAAGGCGACCCAAGCTCCCATCCCCTGCTCTACGGGCTGCACCTGTCTGCACGATGACTTCAGCTTGGATCTCAACGTGTACTGCAGCGCACGTAACTTCACGCAAATACCAAGTGACATGCCACCGTCCACTTATTCTCTCTGGCTAGATGGAAATTTATTCACCTCGCTCCCAGCAGCATCTTTTAGGGATCTAACCAACCTGGATTTTTTGAATCTCCAGAATGGCCAGCTGGTGACCCTTGACCCCCAGGCTTTCAAAGGCCTCAGGTCCCTAGCACACATTCACCTGGAGAGAAATCGCCTCCGGGTGTTACCAGCTACCGTTTTCCAGAATACCCCTAACCTGGCTTCACTTAGCTTGCACAATAATCAGATGAGTCGCATTGATGAAAGATTATTTTCTGGGCTCTCACACATGTGGCTTCTTAATCTAGGGTGGAACTCACTGATAGTCATTCCCGAGACAGCTTTTCAAGACCTGCAAGGCCTGCGAGAGCTCATTCTTGCAGGGAACAGGATTGCATACTTGCAGCCGCAGCTCTTCCAAAACCTTGGTGAGCTTAAAGAGCTGGACCTGACAGGGAATTACCTTAGGGTCATCAAAGCTAATGTGTTTGTTAAACTCACCAAGCTACAAAAACTTTACCTGGCCCAGAATCAGATTATGACTGTGGCACCCAGAGCATTTTTTGGCATGAAGTCGCTCCGATGGTTGGATCTCACGAACAACAAATTAGCTTCCCTACACGAAGACACGTTCTTGGGTCTGTACAGTCTTCATGTGCTGCGTCTTTCCAACAACTCTTTAAACGGCATAAGGCCCAGGACGTTCCGTGAGCTGCAGTACTTGGAAGAACTGCGACTCAGCCACAACAAGATCCGAGCTCTTGGGGAAAGGATTTTTGAAGGGCTTGGCCATCTTGAGGTCCTTGAGTTAGAGCACAATAAAGTGCAGGAGGCACAAGCGGGGAGTTTCACGGGCCTCTCTGATGTAGCTGTTATTAATCTATCTGGAAGCTGCTTTCAAAGGTTGCCTGATCAAATTTTTAATGGTCTGTCCAAGCTTCACAGTCTCCATCTGGACAGAGGATGCCTAACAAGGATCACAGCTCAGGCTTTCAGAGGTCTCTCAGGTTTACGGAGACTTTTCCTCCAACATAACAATATCTCTGCGGTGGAGAATCAAAGTTTTGTGGATCTGGTGGGCCTTCTTGGACTGGACTTAAGTTTTAACAAGCTGGAAGTTCTCACAGCTAACACGTTCTCTGGCCTCAGTAATTTGGAGTACTTGCTACTGACCAACAATGAATGTCGACAGTTTCTGCAGAACGGAACAAAACAAACACTTCCACGTCTGCGTTATTTGGATCTGAGAGCTAACACCTTAACGAGCATGGTTCCTCATTTTTCTGAGAACATGGAAAAACTTCTGCTGTCTGGAAACCGGTGGAGATGTGATTGTAGCACGCTGCCACTCAGAAGCTACAGCTTGCGAAAACCACAGGTGGTGCCTCGGCAAGTAGAGACCCACGCAGAGGGTGAAGAACCAGATACAACCATCACCATATATAACAACATCACATGCACCAGCCCCGCACATCTAGCTGGTCAGGACCTACGGGATGTGGACATTGAGCTGTTCAGAAATTGCTGACAAGGACTTGAACTGGCAGAAGAAAAAAAAACCTGCTACTAATCTCTACAGTATGATACGAGCAGTTTAAATCAAAGCTGATTGAAAATCTAAAAAGACAAACGTTGATTTGCTTCTTTTGGATTTAAACAACAGATATTAACAGCTACATTTTTGACATCTGTGACTATTACATTCAGCTTTAATTAAGAAGTATTTGGAAATTACACAAAACATGTCGTTCATAGACCAATTAAGCAACACTTCATGTATTTCAACTCTAATCCCAAATGTGCAGTAAAATCTTTGTAAAGGTTCAGTTGATGCACATGTTTAAAGTATGATGGGCTGTAAAAACCTGTGTTTAACTACTTGCATGGAGTTTTATGATGTAGAAACAGCTCTGCTGGAGAACTCTAATAAAAACAAATAAAAATGACATGTATTATGAGCTTTATTAACTAACTTAAAAAAAAAAAAACAGGAAAAAAAATCATTCACCACTCTTTCTTCAACCTGAATGCCAGATTAGATTAGATAAAACTTTATTGATCCATGCAGATTCATACAGCTGTAGTAAATAATACTATATAACCACTTATTGGCTATTTTAAGGTGGTAGTGGTGCTGCTCCTTCCCATCCTCCTTCCTCCTGTTACCCCTTCTCACCCCCAGTGAGAGACAAATGAGTTTTTCAGTGTCCTGCACTGATCAGACTCCTCTGGTTGTTGATGGCAGTGTGCAGAGTGACTGGCATCATCCATAATGTCCACCAGTTTGTCCAGCGTTCTCTGATCTGCTGCCATCACCACAAAGTCCATGAGCATATTTTTCCACCCAAAAGATTCATACTTGTGGAAAATATCTCACACAAACATATAACATGTGTCTTTTTTGTTACAATGTTCAGATTCACTAAGCAAAGAAAAATACATTTGATGAACATTTATGTAAGGAAATACATGGACATGTATGTATTTAAAAAGCCATCCCATTTCAACAGGCTTAGTGTACTGTCCAAAAATTGGGTATACTGTATGAAGAAAAAGATTATTATTTTTTAACAAAACTTTATTTACACAATAAGTTATCACAACAGTGTTAAAAAAAGGTGATCAGGACAAGCTTAAAATAAAACATTTACATGAGGAGCTGGTTGTGTTGTAGTTGTCCCTGATCAGAAATGGTGAATAAAATCTTCTTAAATTCCCCCAGTTTTACAAAATTCTCCAAGTGTCCAGTGTCTCTGTGAAAACGAAACTCCAACGCCAGTCTGGCCTTGACGTTGCACTTCCACGGAGCCACGGCATCACGTTGGGGTCCAGCCTGCAGTCTGTCCCTGCGAGACAAGTAAACACACATTTTTGCTTCGGCCACTAAAAAGTTTCAAGTTTGGGATTTAAACTTAGTGGCTTTGCTGTAGAAAAGGCTAAAGATCCTCGTTATTAGATTAAACAGTCATCAGCCGTACACAATTTGTAAAAACATGAAAAACACTCAGACAAACTGCAAAAAGGACACTTGTTTAAAACACCAGGATTAATGACCGACAAAAAAAGAGTTTGTTGCAATGGCACCGTGAAGGACCCTCCATTGAGGATCGCCAGTCCGGTTTTTTGTTGTTGTTGAAGGTTTGTAAAGTGTCCTCCACTTGGGGCGTCTGACCTCCGAGCTTATCGTCCCACTCGCTGACAGCTCTGTTGTGCAGAGTTCTCTTGTTCAGGATCTTAACATAAGTCTTATAAAGTATACTTTTGGACCCGTTCTGCACAAGTCCATCTTTGGGTCTGTGTTGCGTAGCAGAGGACCACTGTCTTTTGCAAAGTTAGGATCCAGGTGGATGTCTGGGAAAGGGTCATTTGGGTCAGGCAGGCGATTCCCCGTGGACCATAGCTGCAGGAGACACTTCTCTCCAGCTGTCATCCTCTCCTTCACCAGGTCCAGGAAGCGCTGCACCAGCCTGGCAGACCGGACCCCAAGCAACGAAACCACCTCTCGGATGTTGGAGAAGTCTGGTCCGGCCGTCTCCACCAACCGCCTCAGGGTCACCGTCCCAGATTCGCACAGTGCCTTTGACAGACCCGGCACCGCGCTATTACAGACGTCCTTTCTTGCTTCACAGACTAGTGGTTCCTCTAAGCAAGTCTTCAGCTCTGGATAACAAAACAAAACCTCTGGATAAGTCAGTTAGAGAACCAAAACAGCAGAGGTACAAACTTTACTTTTTATTAATTCAACTCTTCATTAACAATATACTAATAACAACCACAATGGTGTAAATAGTAACCTAAAGGCTCGGCATGAGAAGACCACTTGTCATCTTAAGCAAGACCAAGAAATTCTGGAGAACCTGGGAAAATATCGTCCAACCAAATCTGTTAACCTGAAGCAGCCAGCTGCTGAGTGGACAGATGTTCTTTATGAGTCTGTAAGTGCTATAAACTATAATAATCATAATAATGAAAGCACAATACGTTTACTTTAACTTGTTTTATAGGAAGTGTCTAATCAGGAGTCAATCAGCACACTACCAGCTCAAATAGAAAGTAAGGAACACATGCTACTGACAGTCAGGCTCTCCAGTCCTGGTATGGTTGAAGAGGTAGATGCTGCTCATGGAAAAACAAAGCATTTGTATTCATCTGCAACTAAATCACACATCTATAACACTTTAGTTGCTTGGTTCCTGTCTTTGGTGAGTGAATAATGGGTACTCATCATTTTTGCCACATGTTGTCTTTTCTAAAGTGTCTTGTTTGTGTTCTGTCAGGCTACTGTTGTCACACTAAAGATGAAGTTAGTGCAGGGGGTCCATTCTGGGTTGCAGATGTTCAGCAGCAAATGACAAAGAATGGACTAGCTTTGCATGTCTTAGCTGTGGCTCACTACTGTTTAACGCCAAAGGTAAAATCCTAACACAGTCAAATGCAGATACATTTGTTGAGACACTTACAGCTCATTGAAATAATGCTTCGTTTCTTGTGAAATGGGAATCTACTAAAAACAACTGTGTGATGTGTGTCTGCATGCCTTTAGTTTGGGACGGAGTAAACAGATTGCAGAACAAAAATGGTCTAGATATGCTAAGATAGTATTAACAGGTTTGTTGGTACCCTTAAAGAGCCTAATAACCTTTTCAAACCAAGTGTTTGACCTTAATTAGTGTCTCAGGTTCCTTCAAGCTGCCCATCAGCCACTGTTTGGTATCATTTTGTGCACCACACTGACCACGGAGCAGAGAAATCAAAGGTGAGGGCTGTCTGAAGAGCTCAGAAAGAAGATTGTAGAAACATGTTAAAGTTAAAGGCTACAAGACCATGGTCGTGAATTTCACACCACCAGTCTGATCAAGAAAGCTCATCAGAGACTCTACTTCCTCAGGCGGCTGAGACGAGCTGGTCTGGGAAGCTCAGTCTTCACCTCCTTCTACAGGTGTGCAGTGGAGAGCATCCTGTGCTCCAGCATCAACGTGTGGCATGGAGGCTGCACAGCTGCAGAAAGAAAAGCTTTGCAGAGAGTGGTGAAGGCTGCACAGAAGTCTGTTGGAGTCAGTCTCCCCACCATCACAAAGATCTACACCTCCAGATGCAGGAATAGAGCCACCTGCATCATGAAGGACCCCACTCATCCAGCACACACTTTTTGCCCCGCTCCCCTCAGGCTGGTTGAGGAGCATTAAGTGTAGAACCACTAGACTGAGGAACAGCTTCTACCCTGAGGCTGTTAGACTCATGAATCTCTAACCAGAATAATCACTGTGGAAAAAAAAATCACTGTAATGCCACTTTGATTGGTGATATGTGCTGCTGATTATCTCATGCTGCTGATTATTTTATGCTGCTGTGTTCATTCGTACTCATCTACAGACTCATGTTTGTGCTGCTGTTGTTTGGCGTATTGTTTTACACTATAAGTTTTTAGCGTATTTCTTAGTTTTTATCTTAGATCCTTATGTACGGTTTCTTTTCCAATTTATGTTTTATGCTATTGTTGGATGTAACTGGGACCCTGAGCACACAATTTCATTCCACCTCATGTACCACATGTGATGCAAATGACAATAAAATCTACTTGAAATTGAACCATCTTCAAGCAGCTACATGTTCCTCTGACCACAGCTGACAATGTTAATAAAACACATAAGATTTATGGGACTGTAGCCTTCCAGGATGTGGACGCAAGAAGAAATGCAACCTCAGGTTGCACGGTGGGATAGTGTGGATGTTAGAAAAAGGACAACTAAAACCATTTAAACTGACCTCCAAGGTCAAGGTACATCATTTTACAAGCACAAGGTCGGCCATATTTTAAATCAAAATGGGCTCCATGGAAGAAAACCCATGAGGGCATGAGGGTTGGCAGAAAAACACAAAAATATTAAAGTAAAATTTGTCAAAGGATATGCTGACAAGTCCCAAAGTTTCTGGAACGGATGGAACAAAACTGGAGCTTTTACTCTACATCAGTTGTGTTTTTTTTAATTTTTTTTATTACTGACAAAGCGTATTAACAAATGTATCTGTATATAATGCATCAAAACTTTGATATGGACACATATTTTATTCCTATGTTATTTTTAGCAAAAGAACATAGAGATTTGTACACGCTTCTATAATGATGTCTCCAGGTTTCAGTGAGAAACCTCACTCAGTGCAGTGGCTGACTGGTTCCCTCAGCTGAAAAACCCACTGGACCCACAAGACTTTGGTTTACCCATCCACCTCCTCCTGTTTGTATTCATCTCCACCAACTCCAGCAAAAAGGCAAGTTGGTAAAAAGAGCCTTGAAGCTGAAATAACTTTGTGTTTTATTCACTGCTGTTAGTTTTCCTTTTCTACTTTAGCTTATAGATAAGACATTTGGTCTCAGTCCAGGTTTTTACTGGCAGACTGTGGAAACTCATGAGGCTTTCTTTAAGGAGGAAAATAGCACACAAGAGCTCCACACAGAGGTGTGCATGATGGTGTGTGGTCTGTGACTGATTTATGCAGCACAAAGCGCCAATGGTGAAAGTGGTAAGATGCAACTAAACTTG